GTTTCTTCCTTCTTGAAACCACAAACACAAATGCATGGAGAGGAAAAGAGAAGAATAGCTTTAACGCAAAGATTTTATAGAGGTATGTTCCCTTCTAACCAATTAGCTAGGATCTTATTCTCTACATTGGTTTCACTCATAAAGAATTTCCTTTACATTCTACATTAGAGCTCAAAGATAACTTCAAGATGCTATTTGAACCCTTTACACATGACTTCCCAAAGAAATCTCAGCAAATCTAGTTTTCCCTTACAATTGATTTCTCAAAAAAATATCACCAAATCTCTATTGAAGGATTCACTCTCTTTTAATTTTCCCTTGTTGGAGTTTTACTAATTCCCAAGATCACAAAAAAAGAAGAGAAAAAAATGTTCCAAAAAAATTCAAAATCTAATTTGCATGTGTAAACTCAAGTTTTTAAAAAGATTTACAAATTTAATGTCAAATCTTTTTTGTTAAATCTTCAAATATGTGTCTCAAAGTGTCTAACTATTTCTCCCAACTCAATATATGGTCCCAAGATGAAAACTAGTTGTTTATAGGCGTTTCGGACCGTTGGAGGTTCACTTTTGCTGAGTTGGAAACCTGGTAGAATTAGACAAAAGCAGGGCTTAGTCGACTAAACCGAACCTTGGTCGACTAGGGGATATTCCATAAATATTTGAAAAGCTGCCAACCGTAATCTTCTGAATAGCGGACAACGGTAAATAGCCAAAAAGCCAAATTTTGCCATGAATTCATAGCAAATAGTGTAACAGTCGCTATTGACATCAAAAAGAAGAAAACACCAGAGATTAGGTTAACCATTGTCAAAGACAATTGTTCAAAAATACTCCGTTTCTTTTCCTATGTCCAAGCATGCTTCTCCTTGTTAAACCATTGTCGAAACACAAGTGCATCACACAGTTAAATCCACTATGTTCAATTCTTTGCTTAGACTCTAAGATGATGATGCTCTATGTTGATGGAAGAACAAGGAAAGCCAAAAAAAAAAAAAAAAAAGGAAAAAAAGAAAGACTAAGGTATGTCAAAATTCATCAAGGAAAAATTCCAATTAGGAAAAATAAAATAAAAGGAAACTAATTTTTTGGTCTGGAATTAAAAGTTGACAATTTTAAAAATATAATTATGTATACAAAATGCAAAAATTGATTTAATTGGCTGTATTTATATTACTCTCTTTATCCCAAAATAACAATTAGTTTTTAACATTGAGTTGTTCCCAAATTAATGGTCATTTGTTTCAATTTTTTAGGTAAGCAAATATTTTTTTTATTTAACCCTACCATTATTGATTTATTTTAGTTAATTATCTTGTCATAAAAAATATCTCTTTATTTTTTAGTTTTTTTTAAAGAGTAATCTAATTAAATACTTGAATTGTCCCCAAATCTTTAATTTGGAAACAAAAAAGTCAAAAAAAAATAATTATTATTTTGAACAAAAAAAATATATTTTAATGATTAAATTAAATAAATGATAAAAAATATATCGAACCAAAAAGTCTATTAAGCCCTTTTCAAAATAAAAACATAGGATAAAAAACTGTTCTAATAAGTACACAACCATTAGAGCAAGTACATGGAAAAACTCACTTTGATACTATATTATCATAATTAATATTATTTTATATAAATTTAGATTTTCATATATTTAAACGTGATATAGAACATCTAATTGAAGATCTACTTTTCATTGCATATACTTAAAAAGAATTTTCTCAAAAATCATATTAATATTTTAATTTATTTAACTCACATTTTGTATATTTAAATAAAATAATAATTAATTTTTTTCAAAGAAATAAAAAAAAAAAAAAGACGAGATGAGTCGTTGGATTTCAAAATCCAACGGCTTCAATGAAGTCAACAATCTCAGCTCATGTCAGGCATTTTTGAAAAAATTGCCCTAAAAGGGCCAAAAGGGCCAAAAGGTAAAAATTATTGAGAGCTGAGTTTTCTGTAAGAAGTTTGACTCTCTTTTTAAAAATGCTTCAATGGGACGTGCGTCGAAATTTCATTTATTTATTTTTTTTTTGGAAAAAAAAATATGTTAAGTAGAGCATGCCTGGTTGAACCTGATCCTTCAAGTTAAGTGGCTCTAGTTATGTTTGTAAGATTCATATCTCTTCTTTAGGGTAACGGTTCGAGCCGGTCTCATGATAAAATATTAAAAAAAAAAAAAAAAAAGAAGGAGGGAAGAAGTAGAGCATGCCTGGTTATGCTCTTAGCTACAACCCCTATCCGCTTTGTACATACAGTGGCATCCAATCAAGTCATACATACAAAATATATACTCTGGGCGAGCATTGGCAGGTATGATTTCAATCCCATAAGTTTTAGAGATGCTCCCGCCCCTTCATCTTCTATATGCAACCGTGGCACCACTACCATGTCTTCTATTTCCTTTTTGAACGATATAAAAGGTACAAGGACATATATGTCAATTAACATTCGAAAAAAGATGCAAATTTGAGTTAGTGCCTCGAGAAAATGAAATGCTATATTTAAAGATTCAATACAAAATAAATAGAACACATTTTTCTTTAGGTGCCAATTATTCCTTTCTTTTTGACTCGAGCAACACGTAGTGGGATGCATCTTATTGATACATTCAATCACATATCAATGAAAGAGTTGATTTAGTTAATTATAACAATCTCAAATGAACAATGTTATTTTGAATTGATAGTTTCAAGTTTTCTTTTCAATGTACTTGAAAGGGGAAGAGAGAACTAGGCAGTATGAAGGAGTTGAGCTTTGAGAGCGAACAAGGACAGTGTGACACAGGAAAAAGAGGAAAAACCTTGAGCTTTCTTTCGCAGAGAGGCTGGAAAGTTCGACGGAGAGATCCATTGGAGCGGTTGACGTATGCAAGTTTGTTTATATATTTTTCCTTAGCCAGAGAGAAAACGGCGCCTGAGGCAGCCGCTTTCGAGCCACTGGGTCCGTGCCGTGAATCCTATTAAATGTCGATAAAGCGTACTAATCGTTATTGGGCCTGACGAATTGTGGTCGGTCTGGCCTGTATAGATCTTAGGTAGAGCTTGAGACAAAGAAAAAAGCAAAAATGTTATTTT